CCCCCCCCCCCCTCGCTATGGGTCATGCCTACGCAAAACCTTGCCGAGGCAGCGAGGGGAAGAAGGCACAGACACAAATGAATCTCACACACATGCACTGCTTCAGCCCTTGGCCAATTCGTTTGAGATCACCACTTCCACCGCGCACGCTCAGTAGCGTGGTGGAAGGTAGTAGCAGCAGCAGAGGTAGACTGATGGACTGACGTGGAATCGCTTTGCACTGGAGCCTCCAGTCGAATCGGCGATGATTGGTGTCATGAACCAAGATTTGGCACCACCATCACCGGTAACTGGACGTGCGCCACGATGCCCAACGGATTTACGGTATTCATGTCCCCTCTGCATCAGCGAAGGATCAACGAACCTGGCAGCGAGAAATCTGGCTACACACCAGAAACGTCAGCATAATGGTCGAGGAAAGGAGCTACTACTCAGTTTGTCTCCTCCTGGATCCTTACGTTCAAGCAGCAAAGCACCTGGTTACGCCGCATGTGGCACATGCGGCGACCTTTTCTCTCGACGCACCAAGCATTGTTGCGAATCAGGTAATACATCGTCTCCATCTCTCTCTGGGTCGTTGCAGTCATCGCAAGAGGATGATGACGACAGGCGGCAACTCCTACTACCGTGGGACCTCAACGACGTCAGCAGTGCCCTGGATCAGGTTCGACAAGATACTCTTGAAGCGTCATTTTTTTCGACAGCCCAACACGTCGATCGCGTCAAAGCTCTTTAGGAAAATCAGAGTCAACTCGCATCGGCTGCTGAAAAGGGTAAGCAATTCTCGTCACAACGCCCGAGCTCGCGACTTACCCGCCTACCGCAGACTGCAGGTCGCCTTGAAGAGCTCACGGTCACGCAGACCACTCCTCTACGGCGCTTGTACACGATATCGCGAGAGGGTTTTGCACAAGTATTTTGAGTGCACTGTTTTGAAAGCGTGCCAAAACATCTCTCCTCTTCGCCAAAAAAATACGTGCCCCTTCTACATCGGTCACAAGAACGACTTGCACGTGAACCGAGCCTAAAACGTGGCGTGGCCACTGGCCAAATAGGATGTCGTAGCGCACGTGCACACGACCAATACGAAATACAAGCACCGTGGTCCCTTGTCGGCATGGACACTGTCCCAGAATAAAACAGGAGACCCTTTCACCAGCACGTGGACGTTGTGCGAGGAAAATAGCGCCCCCGAACGGTTCACTTGCTACCTATTCAAGTGCGTGTGCTGACCACGAAGCTTTCGTTCCAACTCCGGGCCCAGCTCTCGGGCGAGCAGCGACAACATGCTGTCGGCATCCGCCAGCAGCGCGGACGGCTCGCCCTCCTCGGTAATGGCTCCGCCGCTCATCACGGCCACCCTGTGGCAGGAGATGATGTCGTCGAGCCGATGGGCAATGACGACTACTGCCGCTTGGTTGAGGCGAGACTGGATTAGTTGGCGGATCAGGCTGTGCGTGTGCGCATCTCTGGATCATGGCGACAGCGGGGCGGTGAGGAGGGTGCGTTGTGGGTGGCAGCGTAGGGATCAAAGGGGGGCCGCGTAACAATCATCTCTACGCGCGGTGTGTCGCTTGTGATTAGCTGCTTGCTGCATCGCTCGCAAACCCGTGTCACACTAAGCCAAAAAGATGCAAAATCGAACGCCGAAAACACGAAAACGTGTTGAAACCAAACATACCAACAAACCCAACAACAAGCTATTGATACTGCCCCACCATGCCTGACTCTCATTTCGCATGAACGTTCACACCAAATAGGCATTCGACCTGGTGCAAATCGAGAGCTCAAGTACTCACAAGCGAAAGAACGTTTGCGATGCCCGATTCTTATTCTCACAATTTCAAGCGTATAGAATCCCGTCAAAATGCTGTTGGTAGCTAAGATAGGGAACATAACTCAAGCGTTAGGCCGAAACGCTAGACCACTCCGCGAAACAACCAAACCTCAACGATATAAGAAGCGGGGGTGAGGGAAATGCACCTTATTGAGGCGACGTTATCCAATTTGTCCCACTCATATCGTTAAGTTGGGTCAGCAAGTTCATTTTACCAGCCTCGTCGATTCGTGCAGAGAGTAACAACTTCCGTGCGCACCGCACATGCCCACAAACATTTACCGATCCGAACAAAAAATAAGAGAACGCAAACCTTTTACATACAAATCAGGCACTCACACGTTCGCCGTGGCTTCGTCGAAGACCAACACTCCGGGCTGGTTTACCATCGCCCTCGCGATGCAGAGCAGCTGCCCCTGCCCCGCGCTCCAGTTCGCGCCCCGCTCGCTCACACTCGTGGCCAGCCCCAGCGGTAGATCCACGACGGCGTCCCTCAGGCCGACCATCTCGATGATCTCCCAGATTCGTGCATCCGAGCACTTGTGGTCGTGTTCCATTTCCCGGGCGCGGATTGGGAGAGAACATGTGGAAAAGTAGAAAAAAAGGCGAAACGATGGTGAATCCGATAGAGAACACCTGAGTTTTTTTCGCAGAACGGCGCTTTCGTGTAGCGACGGCAAGAAGCAGAACGGCGTATTCGTGCAGCGACGGCAAGAGGAAGGACGGGTCGCGGGGAAAGAGAAATGTGGCCGTTGTAAACCATCCTCACGCGCGTCCCCCTCGAAAAAAAAAAATCTTTACCATGAATCGGAGGATGCCGCGTACATCACGAAGCCTAACCCGATAATGCTACTCCCGTTAGCCAAGAATGCTTGCTTCAACAATCAGATAGTTCTGGTTTTGAAGTTACCGTGGCGAGGATGTCTGTCAACGTTCTCCGACGCGAGGCTGGGGTCAAGATAGATTCTCACTCAAGGAATCCTTGATTCTGTATCGGATCGAGGCACTAACATCGAAACTTCCGGTACGCCTCAAATAGCCACGCGAATCTCGTTTTAAGGTGATGAAATATCACAATTCCAGATAAGGCGCGTACGCCTCCAACTCGAAATCCTGAGGCTGCTAGCAGGCCCACCTGTCCAAGCGGATCGATGGCTTCGCGAACGTTTCCCGAGAAGAGGTGCGCATCTTGTGAGATCACCGTCACTCCCGAACGCAGCAAGGCTAGGGGAAGCTCCCTGATGTCCTGCCCGTCCAAGAACACGCCGCCACGACAGCACTCCACAATCCTTACGAGCGCGAGCGCTAGGCTAGACTTTCCTGATCCTGACCGGCCGCAAATTCCAACAAGCTCTCCGCACCTTGTCGGGGAAGGGGGGGGGGGG